TGATGACTGTTTCTTGCATTGTATAGTATCTGTGAAAATTGCCAAGACAGTAGATCTTGAGTGTTTTATCAATAAAATGAAATAAATATGTGGGGTAATACGTATGCTAATTATCTAGAATTACCCATTCCAAATATATACATGCTTCAAAACAATATGTTGTGCACAATAAGTGTGTGAATTTTATTTGCAAATTAAAAAATAAAAAGAGAAGTAGCAATTAAATGTGATCATCAACTCTAAATTTAATTGGTTACTGGAGGGATAATGTTCTAAAGGCTATTATTAAACAACAAAACTGAAATAGGGACAGTGATTGGGGAAAAGTTGACTATCAGTGCAGATTTACAAAGTAGACGTGTATTTATCTGATAAGAAAGACTATAATCTTACAATTACATGCAGAAGTAAAGGGCCTTAGGCTCAGAGGGTCAGAACAAGATGACTAGTTCCAGTAAGAAACTTGTGTGTTAGGCAAAAAGGGTAAGATGCACAGATACCCATTATACTATTTTATGACATTTTCGGGCTTGAAGTTGTTTTTTTAATTTTTTTTTTATTTTTGTTTTCAAGGCAAGTTCTCACTTTGTATCCAAATATGGCCCTGAACTCTCGATGTAGCCTAGGTAGCCTCAAAAATCATCTCTTGCTTCCACTCCCTTTGTGCTGGAATTACACAAGTGAATCACTGTACTCAAGACTTTGAAAATAATTGAAAGTTTAAAAAAAGAGTAAGTAAAAATTCCTGGTGAGTATTTGAAACAGATAAATTCTCTTTGCTTGGCAGCCTTATCATGAAAAGTGCTTTTGTTGCTTTTCTCGTTCAGATTTGTCTGCCATGAAAGGAAAGGACAGTAGAACTTGCTTGAAATTATTTTCTTGTGAAAAGACAAATTAAGTCAGTTAAGGTGTACTCATGAGTTTCTACAATATTTATCCAGAATCAAAACAAGCTGTAACGATGTTCTCAGAGACCACATGGCAGATCTTGTTTCCAAGGTGAAAAGAATTTCGAGGATGTGGTAGCAAACAGAATAAAGCGAAAAATAAAGGCTCACAGTGAAATATCCATGAATGAAATGTTAAGGGGAAAGAAATTCGTTCCAATGAAGGCACCCATGCCAACAGGGCTAACTTCATTTTCATTTACTTGTGGCAGTTCTGAAATTATTAATTCTAATGACGTTTCCCCTTAAATTTGGATTTGAAAATAAAATGTAGTATTTCTCTCAGTAACATTAAAGGAAAAGTGTATCAAATAAAAATTAGAAACCATTTTCAGTTTTTGTTAACAATTATGAAAATAAAACCGAAAGGGAATACGGACAACATTAAATCTAAGAACCAAATTTTAGTCTGGGTAAGATATTAAAATAAAAACTAAACAGCATCAGTGTCAGAAAGTGAAGTGAAGAAGATGTTAAGATTCGTTCCCAAAAGAAAATTTACATTTTTAAAATGTAAAAGTGGGGAAATAATACTTTCAGCTTTCTCCTACTCCTCAGACGTATAAATCAGACTGTGTGTCACTGAGTTTATAATGATGGCTATATCCAGTAACAAAATGGGCTTGCTTATATCTTTCATTTTTACACAGATAATTCCATAAATTGATATGCACATACTCTGAATGCATTTATTCCCACTGCAATTTTGTACATGTAATAATTTTACCATTTATTCGGAACACATTTTGTGTATGTGGTAAACTGAACTGTGTAGAGTTTGGCACTTACTTGTAAGTTACATTAGTAGAAACTGAGAATGCCCAAGGTATGGGACATACATTTTATTTTGAAAATCTGGAAGACTCAAGCATATTGTTTTTTCTTTCCGTTTTTCAAGACAAGCTTTCTCTGTGTGGCTCCTGCCTCTGATGCCCGAGTACTAGGATTAAAAGCATTGTGCCACCGCAGACCAGCAGAAGACATAAGTATTGTAAAGGAAGAAGATATTTTTTAAAATTCAAATGGGTCATTCCTCTTAGTTTGCATATAAATCATATTTTATTGAACAACTAACTTTCTCCTCTTTATTCTTGCACATGGGGCAATGAAGGAAAAGCAAAATACGAAGGAAAGAAAGGAGAGAGAGAGAGAGAGGTTCTTAGTGTTCAGTGTTCTTTCGGAAGTCTACTTGTTTATATAAAAAACAAAGAGTATTAGTGTTTTCAAGTAAAGTAATTTTTGAAGAATACATTTGGCTACTGGTTACGGTGGGCTAGCACTCAGGACAAGCAGGGGACTGGCTTACACAGTGGGCAATTTGGGGGATTGTCAGTGTGGGAAAGAAACACCTACTTGCTCTGAGCTTATCAGTATCAACCCTGGACTTCGATTATCTCACACATCCCTGAAACGTCTCCCTTGTGATCCAGTGCCAACTGGATCTTGTTAAGATTTGCCTTATGGCAGCTATGCACTTTCAATAACCATTCATATCTCGGGCAATAGTATCACATGAATGGAATCTAGCGAAACATCGGAACATGTATGTGTGTGTCTGTATGCTTACTGGTTTTTTTTCCGTAAGTCAAAATTTGTCTCCAAACATATGTTACAATATTCATTGTAACTCCACTGAGAACACTTTGATTTGGGGCCAGCGAGTCTCTGGGAAAAGAAGCACAAGGTCTACATTATGTCCGGAATGTCCCTTCAATGTTCTCATGTCTCCTGGAAACAAGCAGTCGAGCACTCATGTTTCCTGTCCGTAAATAAATTGTTTTCAAAGAAGAAATCCTAAACTTACTTTCCACTATCTAGAAGCACGCTGCTAATTCAGACTTATAATGATTCACGTCAACAACAAATCTGCCCTGCCTACAAGACAGCATGTTCTCTATGGCCTTGGTCTTCATTCTGCCTTGAGTTACCGTGCTGATCAACTTACTCCATACTTACTCATGATTCTTATCCAATACACACTATAACATTACATAATATATAGCATACTCACAATACTTGGGAGTTCATGATATCAAAATATCTAACAGTTAAATACAGATATTTGAAAGTAGACCAGAAATAGTGTTGTTGAATTAACCAGCTTCGATGAAGAGGCACATTGCTATGGGACTCTAAACTACAACTTTCATTATCAATTGCTTTCCTGAACTTAACTGCTTTCCTGCCTCCATTGTAAAATAACAGTGACCATGCTTAGAGCCCGGTGCGTGAAAACAGTTTTTAAAGAGTCAGTATGTACCAGAATCTGCAACAGAACCAGGAAGACATCACTGCTCAGAAACACTGCAAAAACAAGCTCCAGCAAGAAGAGAGACAGTGGGGGGGGGTTTCTTTACTGGAGGCCACGATTGTCTACTTTAAAAGTAAAATTAAGTGTGCCCTCAGATAGGCCAGTCTGGATGTTTATTTTAACAAATCTCAAACAGTGACCGTGCGATGTGTGTCATTTCTTAAACTGTTCAAGTTTTGTAAGTGTTCACAGGCACACTATGCAAACCTCAAGGGTGCAACTGAGCAGCGTTCTTGAACACCATTGTTCTGTCTAAAGCTGTGTTTGTCAACTTCAGTGTGGTGTAATGCCATTAGCAAGCTTAGAGAAACCAAGAGTTACTAAAAGGAAGAGTGCTAAGTTTTCTGCATTTGAACACACCGTTAAATAGAGTTAACTTGGACAGGCAGCTTCTCACATTGGCACAGATGGGAAAAGTATTCGTCAGGACTTGCACCGACTTAGGACTGGACTGGTGAAACCCGTGGAGTTTGATACATAATTGCTAGTAAGAATTATCTTTGTTTTAGCTTTTTAAAAATCTATTGCCTACTACAAATGCAAGCTGCTCTTCTTAGGAAGAGTCAGATTTACCTGTTTAGATTTCAAATCATTGTTTCAAAATTTAAGCGTCATCATAAGGTAATATGAAATAAATTCCCAAATACTACATGTTAAATAACATCATTTTTATAGTGGGTAAAAAGAAATATAATTTTTAAGAAAAATATTCAATAAATGAAAAGAATAAGGGACTATGAGAGGCTTCATGAATGCTAGGAATCAACTGCTGGCGGGAAGAGTAAGCATTCAACATTATTATGAATCCAAAAGTTTATCCGGCAGTTAACTGTGTGGGCTGTTACCTATAAATAACAAAGATAGCTTTTTTATTTTGCAGCTAAAATAACTTTCAGATCAAAGAGAACTTTAATTTTTTTTACAGCATAGTAAAAGCATAATATGTGAGGTTAAAACTTGGTAAATTAAACATTCTTCATTTAGAAACTTTTAATGAGATGAGTCCCAGACTTACACAGACTAGTTTTGCAACCTGGTCAGCATTCATATCATTGTATCATTGGCATAGAAACAGAAATCCAAATAATAAAATAAAAAGTAGCAAAAGACGTGTTCTCCTTACCTCTGGGTCTTGTTTGTAGCTGCTGGTCAGTCCACCCCATCTGTGTTTGACGAGCAGCACCTCACAGAGCTCTGTCTTCTGCCAGATTCTCTTCACAAGTGGCAAAAGTATCAAGTTTTTGCTCTGGGAGAGGATCGTGCAGAAAAAAAGAGGAAGTTGCAAAATGCCAGTCAGTATGCCGTATCAGCTCTGCAAAGAAGAGAAACTACACATGAGGCCCTTACAGTCATGGAAAGTGAAGCGTAACTTGAGCATTTATTCACATATAGTTAACGTGTGCATATATGTACTTAAACAAACTTAGAGAGGTCCAGTTATTGGCACCTCCACTCTGTCAAGTAGTGACCACTTGTATAAGGAAATAACTCCTCATGGTTGAATGGTACTTACAGGAAAACCAGACCAGAAAAAAAATGTTCTATGCAGGTAGAACTCACACCTGGCACATAAACTTGTTTCCATAGATCTAATTAATTTAACTGGCGTGTGACCCAGGTACTCAGTTCGACTACTGGAGAAAGAGAGGGCTGGGGAGGGCGGGCGGGAGAGGAATGGGGGGAGAGAGATAGTGCATAGACAGCTAGCACGTTTTCCCAGAACTGGGTAGTGGTTCTTTACCTGTAAGCCTTACACTTCCTTTCTCATGGCCGTGGTCTGCTGCACGTAGATAAGGCAGTCTGCAAAAATGAAACTGCCACTTATCCACGGCCTCTCGCAACTCCAGCCACGGGAGTGAGAAACAGGCGCAGGCCTTTCGGCGCTGAACAGGAAGGTGGGTAAGTTTCCTACCAGTTAGTAGAGTACATGGAACTATCCGAGGGAAGACGGCTGGGGAAAAAAGACATATGGTTGCAAATATTAGGAAGAGCTAATCAAAGCGGGAACTATAGACAGATTCAGTTAAAGTCTCTAGGCAGATAGTTGTGCGTATCCCACATACGCATACATGGATGCGCGTTTCTCTCAGGTCCAGTCGACAGATCCGAAAAGCCAATGGGTGGCCAACTGGTAGTGCTTCCTCCTCCCTTCACTTGCTTATTGGGGAAGGGAAGGGGGTGGATTGCGAGAATACCACAGGAATTATGCAAAGCTTCACACACTGCAAGAACTGCTTTCTGGACTTGGGAAACCATCATGCTGAGGGTATCACACTAAGCTTTTATTTTTCCCAATTTTAAAAATAGCTTCTTTTCTTTGTAGGTTAATATAACTACATCATTTCCCCTTTCTGTTTCTTCCCTCTAACCCCTCCCATATCCCCTCCTCACTATTTATCAAGTTCATAGTCTCTTTTTGGTCAGTTGTTATGTCTGTGTGCGTGCGTGTGTGTGTGTGTGTGTGTGTGCGTGCGTGTGTGTGTGTGTGTACTCACATATGCTTAGACATTACCTGCATTATATTACTTGTATGACCTCAGGGCTTATCCTTTGGTATTAGATAACCAATTGATGTGTTCCTCCCTGGAGAAGACTCTTTCCCTAGCTGTCAGCATTCTTTAGTTGCCTGAAGTACTTTGCATAGGGTTGCAATAGATACATCTACAGTATAACCCTGCAAGTATGGCCCAGAGACCCTTGAGGAAGAGGACAGAAAGACATAAGAATCAGTGGATCAGGGAGTTTGCTGTGAGGTTGTGTCTCTTGGGAATGTCAGAAGCTCCTCCCATAAAGTTTCACCAACATGACTGCCAGAGCATGAGCTGAACTAAGACAACAATAGATATGCTAACATGGATTGGGGAAAATCCCAAGAGGTCTCAACCCTACACGCTAAGCTTTCTATTTAGCTGTGCGGTCAAAAGACCCACGCATTAGGGAATTACTAAAAATGGAAACATTTTTAATTTTTACTTATATATTTAATGTGAATTGGCAAGAAGTCAAATTAAGTAAACAAAGCTAAGAAAGTTGCCTACAGTGAAACACCACAAAAAGAAAACCAAAACAAAAGAACTACAAACAGTAACAACCTAAGTGTCATCATCTACAATTTTATTTGAGAAATCCTGCCAGAATAGTCCATTTAGGAAATGCCACTGCTGTGATTCAGTTATGCTTAGGTGATATTTTTGGTGGTGATTTTGTGAGTATAACAGTAGGATCAGAAAGCCATAAAGGTCCAGTCTTACCTCCTCAGCACATGGGGTACACTAGTACGCCCTCATCTGTGGCTTCCCTATCTAATATTTCAGTTGCATATGTCCAACCACGTTCTGAAAACATTAATACGGAAAATCACAGAAATGATTTGTCATTGTAAATTGCCAGAGTTCTGTAGCTTGGTAGCATCTCATCCAGACAGCCTCTTACTAAGTTGACCACGACTCATCTGAGTGCCCAGTGGATCCTCACGTGGGCACTACCCACCCACGGCCAGTTATTACCCTATCTGCATTCTCAGTGCCCACGTCACATTGTCTTAGGGCTTACACTCAAGTGACCCTATTTTATTAATCGTGACCCCAGAATTCGAGAAAGGTGGAGCTCTACCCACACCAAAGAGAAGGCATGAAGTACTCCCTCAAAGGGAAAAGGTGAACATTCTTGGCAGTTCAAGAGGAAGATAAACCTCCCGTGGAGGTGAAGTTAAGGTTTAAGGTAACAGCACCGAAAGCATTGGCGTGAGTAGGGTTTGGTACCAGCTGCTCTCAGATCTCTGTTCCAAGGAAATCTTGAAATCCCCTGAAGATAAATGGGTAGGACCACCGCGATCGTGTCCCTTTTCATCAGCACCGGTGTCCCGTTTATTTGAGAGGAATAACTTGCTTCTCCAATAAGAACTTCTTTTTGGTATCTATACTTGAGGTTCTGACAGCTTCACAACTTCTGCTGACTGACCTAATCCAACCTATTGTTCTCTTTTTCTTCGTGTGAAATTTTTGAGGTAATGGCCAACCACAATTCTCTTTGAGTCATCATATATTTATTCTGTATTTGTGTCAAAATGTACCACGTATTTAACCAATTTCGCCATTTTGTGTGTATAGTTTGCAGTCATCAAGTACATCCGCACTGTGGAATGTTGGCACCATCAGCCTTCAGAACTTTCTGAAACTTAGTGCTCACTCAACAACCTGCCCTTGCTCCCTCCCCACACTCCCCAGCAGCCACCATCTACATCCAGGATTTGACCCGTCTGAGTAGCACAGGTCAATGGACTCGCATGGCCTTTGTCCCCCAGGCCTGGTTTATTTCATTTAGCTTCATAGTTTCTAGCGTCTGTTTTCAAGGCTGCACACTGTCCTGTTGTAATGTAAATGGCACATTTTATTCGTCATCAGAGGACAGTTGAGTTGTTTCTTCCTCAGGCTCTTATAGGTGCTGCTGCTGCTATAACCAATGCTGTGTTAAGTATCTGCATGCATTTCTTTTGGGTACGCACCGTCAAGAGCGTATATCGTACGACAATGCCATGGTTAGTGTTTGGAGGGAGTGGCACGCTACTGTGTCTGCCTCGTGTCGTAATTTTTCCTTCTGCATTTGGATCCCTGCTTCCCCTTATTCGCCAAGCCTTCTTGCTGGGCAGGAAATGAGCTCCCTGTTATCAAACTGCAATGACACCGAAGTCCTCTTGTGCCATCTGTTTTCAGCACATGCCCTCTACTGACCACTTCCTCTCCCAGGACACACTCTCCGAGCTTCAGTTCTGGACTCCCCTTAAGCCTCCTCTGACTGAGAATAGCCTCTCTGATTTTCTCGTAGGAGCTTCCAGCTGTGTACCCACCAGATTCTGCTCTTTCTTGGAGTTCACTCTGGTGGGCCCCCTCGCCCCATTGTCTCTTCAACACACATTGTACTTGGCAAGTTCCCTTAACAAAGACTAACAGATGTTAAATCTTTCCTTCCAAAACACATGTTTTGGTAGTGTGGAGTCCAAGAACATGTTTCCCTGTGATCTGGAGGGAAAAAGTCATAGATCAGCCTCTACTCTCCTTTAATTATGGCAAGGCTACTCTTGCTCCTGTGTCATTTTCTCATCTGTAAGGGGGCCTGAAGTGTCCAACGAGAATGTTATTGTAAGATTACAAAACATAAATTACTTTCTTCATGAGCATAGTCTAACATGAAGACAGGAACAAAGTCCATTAGAATTCTCCCCAACAGTGTTTTTTCTACCCAGGGTGGAAGCACTATGTATGTATTTGGTTTATGGCCATACCGCCCCAAACACACCCTATCTAATCTTGTGTATATATTTGATCCTTCATATCTGTTTCCTATGAAATTACACCTGTATACTTATAACGTACACAAAATTAAATTGTTCTGTGAGTCTATTTAAAGTTCCATGAAACATCACTGCATGTTTTCAAGATATTTCCGAGATTTTGTGTGTGTGTGTGTGTGTGTGTGTGTGTGCATATATATTCATGTATGGACATCTTTGTACAGACATGCTTAAATGGAGGCTACTGGTTAACAATATATGCCTTACTCAGTATCTCTTTGACTTATTCTTTTTTGAGTCAGGGTCTCTCTCTGAACCTAAAGCTAACTGATTAAGCTAGACTGGATCCCAGGAAACTCCAGGGAACCTGCCTCCTCCCCAGTGCTGGGATTACTGGCTGGTATCCCTTTCCTTTGGATCCTACCTCTACATACTGAGACTTGACTTTGGGTCCTGAAGCTCTCGGGACAAGCACTTTGCCAACTGAGTATTCTCTCCAATCGCAATAAGACATACTTTATATGTGGATTTCCTTCACTAACTGAATTTTACCATTCAAAATAGTGTGACAGGAACAGCATCATGAAGGCCTCCCTACCAAATTCCACAATTCTTTCTCCCAGTAAGATACAGGAAGTAGGATTATCTGGCCACATGTACCTTAAATGTTAGTCATCCCTGTTAAGCCACCTACTGACAAAAGGCTTCAATGTATAAATTGCTATCATTTTTTTGATCTTCCTCGCTGTTGTTAATATTAGATACAAACAGACATTACAAATTTGTCACTATTGGGTAAAGGAATGATGCTTAATAAATTTTATCTTGCATTCCTAGTTAAAATAGAAGATATTTCAATGTTTCAGTCCTCTTTATGGCTGTTGCTGCCATTTCATAAGTGGCTCATTCATGGATTTCACTGGTTTTTGTGTTGGCTGACTGTCTTATTCTTGCTCACTTGAAGGGTTAAGAGCTCATTCCATGTTAGTGTGCTGCACTCATACCTTTTGGGAGCGGCTGCAATCATCCCTGCATCTGTTTTAGGGCCTTCCACATCGCTGCCAGAACGTCATGAGGTGACCTCCATATTCCTTGATAACATTCCTTCCTTTTGGATACTTAGACTCACTGTGTATACGTTCAACCCAGACCTAAAATCATTTGCTTCCCTAAATAGCCATGGCTTCTTTTAGTAAAATAGGATTTTGGACAACCACAGTTAAGCTCCCGTGTAACTTATCACTAGCTGAGTAATGGATATCATTTGGAATACATTTGGCTGATCAATAAAAACTTACCTTGGGAATTAGAGTGGTGGCTTGTGGTAAAGAGCCTGTACTGCTCCCGCAGAAGACCTGTATTTCATTCCCAGGACCCGTGTTGGGCAATCACCTGCAAGTGCAAACTCCAGCCAGATCTGGCACCTCTAGTCTCTGGACACTCCTGTACTCAAGGGCCCATATCCACAAGCAGTCACACACACAATCATGACTTAAAATAATGAAAGTAAACACAAAAATCTTTTAATTTCTTCTACATACCAAGAAATATATTCTTGAAAACCATGTGTGTGACACGTGATCATAGACACACACACCTCTGTGTGCCA